TCAAGGCCGAGCTTGGAGAATTGTCCAGTCAAGATGAGAAGCGACTGAAACAACTAACTCGCTCAGCGGAGCGCGAGATCCTGAATAACGCTGACGTTATCTGCTGTACTTGCGTTGGTGCTGGTGATCCTCGTCTGGCGAAGCTCAAGTTCCGTACCGTCTTGATTGACGAATCGACCCAGTCAGCTGAGCCAGAGTGTATGATTCCCTTGGTCCTTGGATGCAAGCAAGTCGTCCTTGTCGGTGATCACCAACAGCTGGGACCTGTTATCATGAACAAGAAGGCAGCTAAGGCAGGTCTGAACCAGTCACTCTTTGAACGTCTCGTCATTCTTGGCTGCTCCCCCATCCGTCTGAACGTTCAGTACCGTATGCACCCATGCCTGTCGGAGTTCCCGTCGAACATGTTTTATGAAGGTTCTCTACAAAACGGTATCTCTTCGTTTGAGCGTCTCCGCCGTGATGTCGACTTCCCCTGGCCCATTGCCGATAACCCTATGATGTTCTGGTCGAATCTGGGTAATGAGGAGATTTCGGCCTCCGGAACCTCTTACCTTAACCGCACTGAAGCGACGAACGTGGAGAAAATTGTCACCCGCTTCTTCAAAGCTGGAGTTCAGCCGCAGGATATTGGTATCATCACTCCTTATGAGGGTCAGCGCAGCTACATTGTTAGCTCCATGCAAGCTAATGGCACCTTCAAGAAGGAACACTACAAGGAGATCGAAGTGGCCTCAGTCGATGCCTTCCAGGGTCGTGAGAAGGACTTCATTATCCTCTCTTGTGTTCGTTCCAACGACCACCAGGGCATTGGTTTCCTAAGTGACCCTCGCCGTCTCAACGTCGCTCTCACCCGTGCCAAGTATGGCTTGGCCATTCTTGGAAACCCTAAGGTCTTGTCGAAGCATCCTCTGTGGAACTGTCTCCTACAGCATTTCAAGGAAAGGCACTGTCTGGTTGAGGGACCCTTGTCTAACCTGCAAGAGTCTTTGATCCAGTTCAGCCGACCCAAGCAGGCATACCGGGGTCCTCAACGCTTCCAGATGGCGTACAACCATGCCTCTAACGTTACGAGCGGGTTGATGAATGGAAGAAACGGTCACCGCAATGACTTCCATGACACCGGCTCGGTGGTTGGTTACATCCCCGATGATGTCTCTTCCGTCCACTCCTCTGCCCTGGGTGGGGTTGGCATTCCTTCTGGGTATCCTCCCATGTTCCAAAACTTCGCAGACTCGTGGCCCGCTCTTCCCGGAGCCCGTCGGGCCAATGGTAACCGAATGAAGGGAGCACCTAGCATTGCCGGAGAATCTGTTGCGGCCACCGAGTCTGATGTTACTGGAAGCATCATTGATGGGAAGAGCGTCGACCAAGGCGGTGTCAGCCTTGCTGGCTTGAGCATCAACGATATGGGCAAGCAGCCCAGTCTCAGTCAGTCTGATCGGTTGAAGCGTTACGTGGAATCCGGAGGCCGGGAGCCTTACAAGCCCGGCGTTCCCGATAACGGCAGCATTTTCGGCGGAAGCTCTGCTAGCATTCGTGTCACTCGTGGTGTGCCAGGCCACATTCATGACGACGATGATACGCGCAGTGTTTCGACGGCATTTGCCAGTCAGGTTGGGGGCAACTATGATTGATTGGGGAGCACTCGTACCCTTTTCGGTTTAGAGCGGGCCCAGTAGCTTGCAGCCTTTCCCGAAGCTCGGGGGGCAATCGTCCATCGAATCATCGGGTTACTCCAACTGAATTGATTCCTGGGATTCTGCTCGACGTCATCCATGTCACCGTTAGGCGTGAGACATCTGTAAGATTCAGGGAAGCGTTGGCGAGAGCCACCCCTCAACCATCTGGTGGGAATTGAGGCATTCCTCGGATTCTTTCGCATTGCTTTTATCCATATGGAAAGATGCCAGTTTACAGGAGCTACGTACGGTTACGTGTCATCTAGACAAGTGACTCTCCCGTCAGATGACAACATAGAACGCTCTGCGACATGGCATGCAACGGCAGCGACTATTCCGTTTACATGGCCCATTATCGATATGGTTTGTCGCCATCGACTATTTCCATAGGGAAAAGAGTCAGTGGTATGTCAAGGCAATCTTTCTGGCTTGCGGCTGCACTCGGGTTCGACTTGATTCGAGGAAGCTGTTGAGTCCTAGCATTCTCGCGGACAGCTGGAAGAGGGTGGCTCATCACCGATGATGCTACACATTTCTATTTGTTGCCAATCCTGGTTTACCCGATACTATTTAAAAATCCTATGACTGCCTATTTTCTGTTTCGTTCTTCTTGCCCAATTCCTGTTTCCATCGTTCTCGCGTGTTTGTGGCACTGCTATGGCTAAGCAGTACTTCTCTCTGAATCTCGGCAACTGGGACCAGGAGGATATTTTCCCGAACACTGCCTGCCCATTGTGTCTCTTTACGCGTATGTCTCGGATTTCGAGAGTCATGGCAATGCCGATTGTCGACTCGAATGAGCCGTTTAGTCCCGCATCTCAATCCAACTACTGTCGTTCATTCACCACACCGCCTCGTAGCTTCACCATGATACGTCTCAGTATGCGAGCAAAGATAACGATCGTCTGCAGGATGAGTAGGCATCCGCATATCTCGCATCCTTAGCACTGTCCGGTAGTTATTTGTAAACTGATGACGGCGGATACGGCCGCCGGTTCCACCTTCGCAGAATGATCCGCACGTTCGATAGAAGACTCCGCCACGATCTTGTTGTGAATAACCGAGAGTAACCTGCATTGATCCTTCATCTAGTGGTCCTGTCAGGAGCAGCACATTCGAATTAGAGCCAGCTACCTGCAGGCGATGCATTTAGGCACTACTCATTCCACTGAAGGAAGACCTCTAAGCCACACGCGCATCCCATCATCCACGGAGACACCGGCCGTCTCGTCTGCGGAGAAGAAGGAATGAGGATAGGAGGGGGGTAACAAGATCACTGAAGGATGCTTTAACTACTGGTCCATGCAGATCTCTCTCGGAGTGACAAGGATAGTATTGCATACATCGTGGCGGGCGCTGCGCCACTGGCTGGGGAAGATCCGTCCTCTCACAAAAGGGGAATCGGTAACCCTTCCCCCACTCAGACGTCTCTGATGATGCTATTTTTGAGAATGAAGATGCCTACGACGATCTGATATCGAAGGATTTGGTTTCCTGACAATCAATCATAATAGATGATTAAGTTTACTTTTTCTGTGGTTTGCGATTGTGGCCGTGCTTTGCAGGCAACAACATCAACAATAACAACAATTAACAGCCATGTCAAACAGACTTAGTTTGAGGAAAATGCACGCCGGCTAACTAGGTTAGTGAGTTACGTTTGCTGGCAATCTAAACGAGGCAGGGAGCGATTCGCCCTGTCCAGGCATAGCATAGTTTTTGGGCGTAAATTGTCGCCTATGCAAGGGATGGGCGGCAGAGATATCTTGACGTTGACACGGGAAGGGCGATTGTTACGGACAGGGATCAAGAGTGAGGATGAGAGAAAGATCTATCTATTCGATCAAAACTATATGCAGCTTAAGCATTACTACTGGTTAGTATGTATGAATCTCTTGCCTGTCAGACGTGGGAAGAACCCGTCTGAGTGGATCAGGGTTGGCATACATTGTTACAAACAACCCTGTCAGTAAGTAAGCAGTAGAACTATTCTTTTGTCTTTCCTATTTCAGTTTTGCTTTTTTTTTTCACATTAGCGTGAAAGGCAAGTCAAGCGTCTCAGTTTTTTTTTTTTTTTTTTTTTTTTTTTTCTTCTCTCATTATTGCCTCGTGTTGGGGGTTTGGTTTTCCGAGGATTCCATTTGCCTTGGGCTCAGAGCGCTTAAGCGGGTTCTTTGCCTGACGGAACGCCGGGCATGGGATTGGGCAAGAACCGCTGTCGGAGTTATGCTGGTTGCTGGGTACCTAAGGTACCTATCACCTTACTACGTAGATACCTCACACCTCTTTTCTTCTCCATCTGCCACGCAGGAGTGATAGAGAGTATACTATGCTCTAATTTGTGATGTATGGGAATACAATAGAAACTCGAAGAATATTATATAAATCAAAAATAAAATAAAAAAAAACCCCCCCAAAAAACACAGCAACAACCGGCATGTCCGAGTTGGTTTGTAAGGCAGATCCCATGACTCCCGAGACGCCACAGAAAATTGACCGAAACCGGCAATGTGGCTGGGGGTGTGAAAAAGGCAGACCACGTGCTGGAGGGCCCTGATTGGCAGGCAGCAATGAGGCATGCAACCCGACTGGGGTGGGAATTGTGGCGGATGGCCTTGTCGAAGCTGAGCAAAGAAAAGAAGTCAACCTCTGGTAGATCCTAGTAATAGCACAGGAAGGAGTTACTGTAAGTTATCTTGGTTGCCTGCCTAGCATGACTCACTAGTCGCAGCCTAAAGACCCTTTACAAAGTTTTTGCCATCCATGCCGCAGTCAATCCATCGTGATTCGGCGCCCATCAAGGCTTGACTGATACATACAAAACACAAATCCGGCGTAGTTGTCTCCGATCACACCACGTGTGCAGGCATGATACTTGAGTATCCTTACCAGAGTCTTAATCTGGGTTATTTAAAAATAAATTAGACGGGTGTTGCTGTTGCTGTTGGATTCTACCATGCACCAAGTAACTGGGATTATTAATGCCGTATAAGTACGAAGTACTAACCAAAGATTCAACTACTTATCTCTCTTGCCTTTCTCCCTCTTCATTATTAAAACAAGATCATACATTGCTCCTTCCCCAACGGACACCAACTTCGACCTTCCCTTTTCAATCGAGTGGCGGATCCGCCAAGACATTACCCAACTGGCCAACAACTGTTGTCACGTGCGCGTGTCGCTAGATGCCTTGTTTTCCGTCCTGAAAAAATTGGCAATCCGTCCTTCCGAACTGAGCAAACAACCATCCATCGCCCAGTGCCACCCGACGCGCATTGAGCTCGACAACCAAGCTAATATCAACTCCCTCTTCCTCCCATCTTTTCAACCGCTGCACTTGACCTTACTTCATCTTTACCACCGTTTACCTATTTTCTATTCTCCGCCTCGTTTTCCGAACGCCACCAGGGCCAACCCCCTTCGCAATTGACGGCGGGGTTGTAGCTACGCTATGGGTGACGGCTCTGATTATCCTAGTCCACGAAGTGAAGGTCCCGGTGGACCTACCTCTGTTCTCGTCACTGTCCAAGACTCGCTTTCTCCAGCTCCCAAGATGAACGACCAGCTGTCTCCGAACTTCATGGAAGGGACGCGCCCGCGACTGTCGGTGAGAAGAGCGCGGGATCCGCCCAAGAACACTGCCGGTCAAATCTACTGCGACCATCCCGAGTGCCAGCACTCGCCCCCAACATTTCGCCGTCCGTGCGAATGGAAGTAAGTTTTCTCCCTCATGATGGTGATGATGATCAAGAAAAAAGACAAATCTACAAAATCCCCGATTCAAGGAAAAGCTAACCGTTTGCCACTTCACAGCAAACACATGGACAAACACGACCGCCCGTACAAGTGCATGGAACCCGGCTGCGACAAGATTCAAGGTTTTACATACTCTGGCGGTCTGCTGAGGCATCAGCGCGAGGTGCATAAGAAGAACATCAATGCCAAGAAACCCTTGATGTGTCCCTACGCCGACTGCAATCGCAGCACAGGGAACGGATTTACGCGTCAAGAAAACCTGAAGGAGCACCTTCGCCGCCGCCACATGCACACTGAGAACGGACATGCGTCCGAGCTGCCCATCGCCCCGTCGCCCGATCTGGATGGCACCACGTCTCTTGCGACGGCATCCGCAGCCTTGAAGAGGAAACGCGAATCTCTCGGAGATGATCCGGCCACCCTCGAGCTTCCCGAGGAGGAAGAGAACGGGGTGGATCTTCGCAATGAACTGAAGAGGCTGCGTCGTGAGGTCCAAGAGAAGGATCGCCGACTGGAGGAGTTGGAACGCATCGTGGCTGGACTACAGCAGGCTATTCCTCAGACCGCGACGTCACAGGGCTAGCTGGATGCGCTGGATCAAGATTTCAACGAGTGGTATTGATTTGATCGCTCTTTCTCTTTCTTATCATTTGTTGCGTTTCCCTGTTTCCGTGCTACTTTGGCTCTTTCCCTTTCGCTTTCCCTTCCTCCCCGCTTCTTACTTTTTTGGTTCAGAGTCATTTCACTTCATTTTCATGGTTTGTTGTATGAAATTTGCATTCTAAGGGCGTTCAAACTATGCAAATTACGGGGCCTTGGTTGTTTTCGCGGATCTGTCTACAACATCTACGGGTGGTTCATATGGGTCGGTCTACATCTCGGAACGCATGGATAAAGATCAGGCAGCTCTGAAGATGATGGCGTTTGCTCGAGGTCGTTGATACAGACCAGGTGGTGTTTTTTTTTTCTTATTGTGATTTATCCTTATGGTTCCTAACCCCCCTTTCATCTCCTTCCCTACATTTCTTTTTTTATCTCTCTCTATTTCCTCATTACTTATTATTCCCTGAAATATACCCAGGCGTTTTTCACCCCGTTTCTTTTGTTGTTGCCTTTTGACCTTTTCCATAATCTTGTCTCTCTTCACTTGTGCCTTCAAAATCCTCCGATGCAAACGTAGCTGTCGATCCTGGGGATACGTAGTCCCTCCACCACGTCAGTGGGGTGAAATCATAAAAGATGTCTGTCATCTAACTACCTATCTAATCATTTATTTGTCTTCGTGAGAAGCTGGATGCCGCCAAGGGGCTCCTTTCGTATCGAAAATTGTAATAATGACTGGCACGTACATCCCTGGTCACATACTAGTCGAGTAACGTACTTAGTAGTCCTCGGGCTCTGCATCTTTCATGATCTCCTCTAGCTAGACTAGGCAGGCAGGCAGGCAGGCGAGCAGGCATCTGTTGGCCTTGCATCCAAGGCTACCAGCCTCACCATCATCCTTCCATCCATCCCACTTCCGACTCTATGATTACCAAGCAAATCACCACAACAAGGCTAGTAAGCACTCAATTACTCACCTGGTATCATACTATGCTAGTATGACACATACCTCACGTATCATCCTTCCTTCCTTCCTTCCTTTCTTCTCACCACCCAGTGACCAGCCAACTAGCCATGTACAGCAGTAGTCCGGGTAACAAGCAAGCCCCATAGTGAGTCTTACTTGGTAGTCAGTCGTCGTCACCCACTCACTCACTCACTTCCTCTTCCCCCCTTACATAGTACATAAGGTCCAGCCAGCTCAACGTGGCTCCCTACCAGGAAGGACACAGACACTACCCGGTCTAGATTACTGCGCGTGACTCTTTCCGTGACTCACACTTCTGGCGTCTCGGTAGTAAGCACTCACTTTCGGTAGATATCTACTGCTGGACTAGCTTGTTTGCTGGGTAGTTGGCTGGGTGCTTATCTGATATGACTCAGGGGTGGTAGCTCGGATTTCATGTGCTTGTTGATTTATTGGGTGGTTGGTTGGTCGGTTGTTATGTTAGCCTTGTAGGCGAGGGTAGTATGTCTGAATCTGATGGGTGGGTTGTTGGAGCTAGCTGGTAGGGATCTACTTCGGTTGTGGTGAGGGTATAGATTGCTTACTGGTGATTGGCTGTATGCATGCCCTGGATATACTCCATCGGGTCGATGGAGTATGAGATGTGTTGCGGTGTTGGTGCTGGGTGACAAGTGTACACCTAGCTTCTTTTGAGGATCCACAGCCGTAGAATGAGGCAGATGTGTTGTGGAGAGGGGTAGGAGAATTGATGGCTTATGAATGCTGCGCCGTGTTCGGCGGATATGTACTGTTATGGGTAGGCGCCGTGGTAGCGCTTGGGGATCCTGAGGCGGTATCTGTCGGGACTAAACTGGGTAACGCTTAGTGGTGGAGGTGAGAAGGGCGTGGTAAGGAAAAGGTAATGTATTAGGATGCATCGATCGCATGTGATAACGATGCTGAGAAGGAGGTTGATATTCGAAGGTTGAATGCCTGGTGGTGCAGGCAGCATCCACAGTAAGTCAGCTGAGCCATGTGTTGGGTAATTTATTGCTGCTTCCTATTTCCTAAAACTGAGCCATATTATATCAATTAGTCAGTGTGGCCGAGTGGTTAAGGCGATAGACTAGAAATCTATTGGGTTCGCCCGCACAGGTTCGAGTCCTGTCGCTGACGTTTTTTGCTTTCTTCAAATTCGGTTGGGGAATCGAACCGTTCAGTATTCTCCACCACATCATTTTTTTCCCTTTCTTTTTTCCTCTCCACGCTCTTATGAATGGGTGTACCAAGGTGATCACTGGATTGATTGTTTTGAGATGTCAGACCTCTGTTATAGACGAGATATAGCTGCATTGCTGTCCAGTCTTTGCGAAAGGGATCTCTGGCTGTCATAAACCCCTGTCATTGACTCTCCATTTGGAGACAGATCTCCTCGTCAGCGGCACGATGCGTCATGGTAAGTATTACATCGCGCAGTTCTGGCTGCGACATAGAAGATGGTATCTTGTAATGTGCAAAGTGCATATGGATCGTTTTGCTGGCATTCAGCTATGATCGGGGCAGTTTGCTGGTCGTAGGTGGGAATGAGGGCGCTAATACAGGTTCGTCTCATGTCGAATCCATCAACAATGATGGCAATGTTCCTGATAAGTCTATCTTTATGTGTTGCCTTGTGAGAGCCAGCTTTGAATCGTACCAAGCTTGCACTAGATACTTCCATGGCCTCTGGCTTGAGTACACCTTATCATGCGTGCTGACCCTACATACATGACCAGCTTCAGTTACCTGCATACATGACCAGCTGCAAGACACACAGTATGCAGTGTATGTTTTTGTGAAGCTGCTAGCTCATCTGGCTTCCATGTTGTTGTATTCGCGATATAGGCATGCTCACGAGGTCAAGCGCAGGACTTATCTTCTAAAGCTCAAAGTTAGAACAGATTGACCAGTATACTACAAGTCACTATAACTCACAGCTCAGCACGAATTAGATGGAAGCTTGGTCGACTCTCTTAGAACCCCTGGGTCGGAAGTTCGGCTATGGCGACCTCGTGTGTCGCTGGGCTGTGAGGTCAACAGTACGGGAGCCCGGCTGGTGAATAACAATGAGCTAGACGTCAGGCCCACGGTAAATTGAAGTAACTGTGAGATCAATCTGATATGATCTGGCAGACCAATGAGGACCCTCAGCTGGGCGAGATGTTGGAACAATCGCGAAAATCCACTTCTCGCTTCTGTCCAATGGGGACGTGTCGAAGAGACGCGTTAGAAACTTTGCATTCACCTCATCATGATGTCTATACGCGTCTTGTGTTGCCTGTGACGATGTGTTTGCATGTTATGTGTGACTCCTGGCCGTGCTAGTGGAGGCTGGTATGGCACGGTCGTCTCGGGCTGCGGTTTGATGCCTGTTCTATAAATGAAAAACAAGATATAGAAAGCTCTGGATGGTCGCTTCAAAATGCTGAATGTCTCTATTTCAGAAGTTAGCTAATGATATAGGAGGAAGAACGAGCGCAAGATGTGGAAGATCCGCTGGCATCCCTCCCTGGTCGGGAAGGTGCGAGTGTTGCCCACGTCAAACTACCGGAAGCAGCTTTTCGTGCGTTCCTGACGTATGTATCTGCTTCTGGTTTTTGGTGGCACTGTTACCCTGCAGCTCGAGGGGTTGACATATTGTTGACTTGGTGGCGAGTGCGACAAACAAAACCTATGGATCATCCGTTCCTCGGAGATCTATTAGCTCGCTGCGAATTCGACCCTCTCGTTTTGGTATACATATTAGGTAGGTTACCTTGCACCTATTGCTCTATTACAGGCTATTGAACTGAGTTATAGGAATTGCATCTTCTATAGGGCTGGCAAAACAGAATGCAATACCCTGGCTTGACAAGGGCAGATATCTGAGGGAATTTGAAATCATATTCAGGCCTACGATGGTCGGCATCCATGCCATATGCGCGGTGGAGAGGCACGATAGTGCTCAAGCAGTATTTACTTGAGTGGAGTAGCCCATAGTCTGTTGGCTCGAGGCATATAAGACTGCACTCAACCTCTGGGGCTTCCATCCACTCCCTACAACCCGGCAGAGTTTGGAGTGTATTGTCCCAAGGTCACACGCAATAATGTACACATGTTCGAGCCGAGTTCCCCGGCATTACCATGCTTGCCCCAGGTTACCAGGGGAATTCAGAAGGAACTCCCCCATAAAAGGACTCTTTAGTTCTGCATACAAGTCAGGGCTGGCAATGAAACGAGTCAGCACAGAAGAACTGTTTGATCTGGCATGCTGCATTCGATCAGTACGGTCTCCCCTGGTGTGTATGAGTTGGGGCACTACTTGTTGGAAGAATGGGTACCGGGCATTCTTCTTCAATGGCCAAACAATGACTCGGCATTGTTGTGCCGGCAGATACGGATCTGAATCGAGACATCATGATAGGAACAAAGAAGAAAAAGAACAAAAAAGAAACGTCAGCGACAGGACTCGAACCTGTGCGGGCGAACCCAATAGATTTCTAGTCTATCGCCTTAACCACTCGGCCACACTGACTGCTGCTTGTTTTGGAAGCCGTTATTACGGTACATATTTGTGGTTAGGCTATATGTGCCTAAATGCCTCCAGGTAGCACGTCTTGGACTTGCATGCTATAGTTCCTAGCACTACCAAGCGCAATATGAGCGTCCTCAGAGGCAGGATTGGGGCCATTCACCGAGTCTAGTGTATGTTTTTCCGAGGCAGCATTGACTGACAGTGGCAGTCATGAATTAATAATGCAATTCTCCGGCAGGTATCGAGGCGTCTATATGTAAAAGAACTTTGTCAGTATGCCGAGGTGGCAGTCCTGGCTGTGCAGTCTGACTCCTGCGGTGTCAGTTACCCGCTGGATCCACTCCCACAAGAAGTGGCTGGGTAAGGGAAAAGGGATCCAAAAAAAAGAGATCAAAAAGATCGTCAGCGACAGGACTCGAACCTGTGCGGGCGAACCCAATAGATTTCTAGTCTATCGCCTTAACCACTCGGCCACACTGACTTGTGATAGTGATTTGCTCAAGTTTTTAGCATTATGTGAGGAATAAAACGCTTGGGGGTGGCCTTCCCAAAAATCTAAATCCGATGGGCTGTTGATCGATGGTGCGGGTGTACAAAGTGGAGGTTGTACTAGACCACGATGTTTATGATCATCAAAAGCTTTGGACCAAGTGGCTTTGAATGCCACTGGGCAACTTCAGTGGCCTCAATTTCAGCTTGAATGAAAATGTGCTACTACTACTACATCGGGACATGTTCGGGATCGTTTTAAGAGGGTTTTTGGTGCACGGTCAGATTATATATATATATGGACAACACCCTCCAATGGAATGTCCCGCAAATGCCCCCCCGCCGAATGACACGACAATGAACACAGTGCTTAGTATTAGCGGCATCAGTACCACCCACAACTAGATTTAAACAATGGAGCAGCCCATGGCAATGTCGCACACAAAGAACCTCGAAACCGGAACAACCCCAGGAGACCCACCAAGTGACAATCTGGGGTGGTACTAGAGCGCACTAGTTAGTTGAAATCTAGCTACTGTAGATCAGTCCCAGACCAGTCTATCATATCAGTAGAATTAAATCCAGTATCTTCAATGTTCGCTGGGGCAATTATTAGGCTAGAAGGCGCCGACCGTGAAGCAAAACGGGTGATAGTCACATCTTCCGTGCTCAAACAAGAGCCCGGTCGTGTAGTATATCTCATATCAATTGCACAGCAACATCCTTATCACTGGCGACCCAACAGGTTCCCAGCCGCAAAGTGCATAAGGTTACTATCGACCCACAGGTTATCACCACCCTCCCAACACCCAGGCCTCTTATGGATGATACGGGAACATAAGGCAGCAGAGTAACAGAGTATTAGGTACATTAAGCCTCACAGAAGAGCCCAGAAATCGTCCAGTCGGAGACAACCATGTAGCTACAGTATCAAACGAGTTGACAGCCGCTTAAAGCATTGCTATCTCAGGCATAGGGGTACGTTGAGAAGCAACAAACGCCGGACGAGTCGGGAATAATCCACGGCGGAGTGAACCAAGGATGAACGTGTCGGAGAACTATGCCCCTTCTGGCAAGCTGGTATTATCCGAAAATGCGAGATTGTGAGCAAAGAAAATGCACTGTCCTCAGAAGCCTACAAAGGAATAAGAAAGAAACCCATCTGACAATGAATAAGAGTGAAAGAGAAACAAGACAAACACATGTCGAGATGGCCCACAATGGTTGGAATAGAGTCCCTCCCCCCTCCCCCAATGACTAGACCCAATTCACTTGAACTTGACCCAGTCCCGCTTTATAAGGGACGGTCTCCTCCCTCTCCCCGACTCACTCCACAACTTCAAGTTTTTGTTTCCGTGGAAAACTCCAAGAAGAAATTGGTTTTCAATCACTGAAATTGGGCTGTGCTGTGCACGTAAGCCCCCGGGAAAATAATGGCTCAACCATACCATCCGGCGGAGCTTCCCATGTCCCATAGCGCCAACGCCCAATACACTGCAACTCAAGAGTATAGCTCGAGGAAATCCAGCCAGCAGCCTTCAGTATACACGTGGTCGCCGCTCGGGGCGGGTAACTCAAATCTCCGTGACACTGATAACCCTGCTGTGCATCAATTCCCTGAGGGGGAGTTTGTTCCATTTGGGTTCTTCGACAAGGTCGACATAAATCTCTTCAAAGATACCCTCTCTCCAAGTGTGGACTGGAGATACGAGAAGCGCAGACAGGTTCATCAAATACTTCCATTCCTATACCTGGGGCCCTGGAGCTGCCTCGCGGATAGAGATTGGCTCAATCAAGAGGGAATCACCCTGCTCCTAGGCATCCGACATAGTCAATTGGCCAAGGCGGGTCTTCTTTCTGGAGCCAAGACAGCCGCCGCGCTTAATATCATGACAGCCTCTATTGATTATCAAGATAATCAAGAACTCATTAGCAATCTTCGTGATGTAATTAACGGCATCAATGAACACATCGCGTCCTCGGTTCCCCTCGGCCTGAGCCGGAGCACCGAAAAGAAGGTTCTTGTATTCTGTGAAACAGGCAACCATTCGTCGGCTTTGGTGGTGATGGCCTATCTGATGGTGATGCTCAATATCAGTCCAATGAAGGCCTTGGATCTGGTCCAGTCGCAGCGATTGAGCGTAATCGTGGACGGGCCGGCGTCGCAGTTACTGTTGGCATTTGAGGCTATCATCGTGGCCAAACGGGATGTCGAAAGAGTGCGCCGAGCCAGCATCTTGGATACATCGGCTTCCTCGAAGAAGCGAACCAATAGCCGAGATACTGACGACATGGATATTGATGAGATCGAATTTTGGGATCTGGAGAGAAAACCACTGGCACCGTTCCAAGATCGTTTTACCAACTGATCTCCAATGCTATTCTCCGAGAGTAGTTGTCACAGGAAATAGATAGATTGTGCTTGGTAGCGACAAGATATATGTTAGAGTAAAGCGGGAAATAACCGTCTTCCATTTTGCCTCCTTCCTCGTGCATTTCATGCATGATGTGCTTGTAATCAGATACCGTACCGAGATGGAAGGCGCCGTGCTTTTGTCGCCTCGTAAAGTCAACATATGACCCCAAAGCCCAATGGCAAATAAAAACCTGCAAGGCCCATCAATACAAATTTCTCATTTTTATATGGTGTTTTCTCCGGAAGCCTCCCTGGGAAATCCATCACCACACAGTCGGAGCATCTGCTCTGAAGCTGAATTAAGGCTCGCCTTCAGCCCGTCAACTATGAAATAGCATTCACTGCCCTGTCTATGCTACTACTTCTGCCTTCACCTTCACCTCCCCACACCATGAACTGATATACGGGATTGATGACGATTAACTTCTCATCTTTATTTCACAGTGACTTTACATATCTCTAGCAACGTGTACTCCTTATCCACCCAAGAGCACCATGCAACTTCGCAAGAGCATTCGCCCACCAGAGCGCTTCAACCAAGACCAGTTCTACAGCCCATGTACACAGAGATCTTTACGTGTGCCACAAAACCAAGACTGCATTCATAGCACTCAGTTTGATCCCAACCTACCTCCGGCAGCGTTTCCTACGCTAGATCATCCGTCTCCCGCCAGCCTACGCGATAAAGATAAGGGACGTTGGAAAGGGCAGGAGGCAGATCTCTCCAAGCGCCCCAGAGGGCAGGAGAAAGATGACGAAAATACCGAGAACAAGCGTGTGCGTGGGGCAGATGCAGGCGTACAGACCAGACCTCCAGCGTCAGGTCAAAATTGTTTCTTAAGTAACGGGAACTTTAATCCGGTCTACAGGAGAAATATGACCATTCTTGCTAATGTTGGTCGGGAGTCATCGATCGAAAGATATCTAATGAACAGCGACATGGATGAAGCCATGACTGATGCCCCTGACGAGGAGGATATAGAGGTACGTTGAGCATGAACTAAATTCTATCCTTCTCCCATTTCTTAACAGCCAGTGTCTAACAAACTTCTTATCCTTGCACAGGCTCCTTCAGCGACAGCCTCCGTTCGTCCCTGTGAATGGAGCGACCTTTCCCCACAAATTCAAGTTGAGATCATTGACAATATGCTCCAAGAATTTGACTGGCCAACCATATGCCATTTACTGGGGCTGACGGCAGAGGAGCGCGAGGAAACCCAGCAGAATATTCGCCAACGGGATCGGCAAGCTAAGCAGGAAGATATACAGTTGGAAGATATGAGAGAAAGGCAACTGAGGGCACTCCTGCGAGTCGACAATACGAAAAGTGGACATAATCGCGTTCCACACCAAGGTATCTTCAGCAAAATTTCCCGTCAGGTTTCCGGAAAATTACAGAATCAGATCGACTCGGACATTTCAATGTGCCAGCAAAGTGAGCTGCTAGATGCCAAACTGTTTCTGCGCACGCGTGGACTCGACCGCAAGTATGCAGGAGAATGGGGTAATGGTACGTCTGCTTGGCAGGCCCTTGAAGACGATGACATTGAGCCGTGTCTCGATGATGACGAGAGGACCCAGCAGCGCCTAGTGGATTGTGCAGAATTTGATGCAACAGGTCTCTCAGCACGAGGGGACGAAAATGCTAATGTGCCTGACCCGGATGATAATTGCACGATACAGGCGTATGAAATGGCCAAATACTGCCCGAACTCTGAAAGGAACAAGTACCTACACCAATTCCGTTTCAACAAGCCCAGGCAATGTAACAAAGACTCTCAACCCAGACACAAGGTAGTGTATTATGACCCTCGAGGGAGTGAGCCCTGTCGTCTGAGCGTTGGCGCGGAGAAAGCTGCTCATGTTTGCGATACGAGATGGAGAATTCCCAAGCTGGCATCGAGACCTTGGGAGATGCCTCTGACGAGTCTGTCATTTAATGGGCCACGACCAATCCTTGGGACATTTTATAATACCCACGGCAACAAATTCGACGCAAGGAGGTCCCAGAATGCAGCCTTTGTTCCTCCGACCAGGCTCCCTTATGGAAGTATGACTGACAGGCGTGCAGGCCAAACCGCCTTTTCATCGAGGCCTGACCCACGACACGGAAGTTCAGCATCAGAGGTACGCAAAGAGATTCCACTCAGATCAAGCAGTGGCAGCACGTATGCTACCTTATCTGAATCAGGGAAAACTTCGAGCCCCGTAATTTGGACCCCCAAAGCCACCCCAAATACAGCAGTATCCACCACAAGTCCCGACTGTCTTCCCGCAGATGAGAACAAACAATCACCGCATGTAACCAGTGCACCGCAGTTCCCACTGGAAGCAAGAAAGGTCCTCAGAGAATCAGCCGCACAGAATTCGGGTCACGAAGTGCTAATTGAAGACTCGAGGCTGGGAACCCCCCCGAAACGTCCAGCCGAATCATTAGTCTCCAAAGAGAACAAAGTGCATTTGTCTAAAAAGCTGAGCGACGGAGATGACAGCAGCGAGGATAGCCATGACAACGACTATGACGAGGTGGTACTTCTACCTGTATAGCCACTCACAAGAAACTCTAGTAAGGACGCAAACTAGGGAAGAAGATCGAGAATGCCCGTCCCTAGAGCAATGGTACCCGAGTTAGACTGACCAGGTATTCCAGAAATTGCGAGAATTAGACTGTTGCTGTTGAAGACTCCTTACCGTTTACCTTGCCCACATTTTCGTTAATGCTCCTTCACCATCAAATGTAATTTGCACGCAGCAAAGAGTAATATCGACCATAATGAATATCTGGCCCCAAAGACGGAACTGAGATGCATTATACAACCTAGACCTTTTGAATTTCTTTGTCCGACGTTTCTGTATTTGCTGATTTTCTTAGGTTTGTAGCCACTCCCAGCGGGTTTAGTCCTTCAAGAGTAAAATTACTTGCGATCTAAGTGCAAGATCAAGAACTAGAAGCCACCAGAAGTACGCGAGGCCAAGAGATTGGAACAGCATCTATTTGTGAATCTTGGGGTGTGCAGGGCCACACCAGAACACGTCGCGTGATATTATTTACGAGTCACGGGAGCTTTCCTTTCTCATTCTTCATCTCTTTACTTCTTCATCTGTGCAATCCCCATCTCGTCAATGTAGGTATGCGACCTATAGCCCATCATATTTGAGATTCATGATCCATGTCAGCAGCCTCTCGAAGCACTCCAGGTAAGTGCGTCTTGGGGACAAACCTTACTCATTGGGTAATGCCATTAACTCTCCATTTTGAAAAGGGCTGCTGATCAAGTCCTCAGCTTGCCAGGTTTATACTACGGACATACCCGGCACAAAACTATCTCTTCCCAAATGCAAAAGCATACTCAATAAGTTTACAGTGGCAAAGGATCTGATACGCGAAAGGCAGGAGCTGAGGTGGAACCATTACTCGATTTGAAAGCCATTGAGCCAGCATCCAAGGCCCACTCTTACGAGCTGAATGAACGGGTCATCGGCATCAAGTGATAGATGCGGTCTACAAGAGCAGTTACTTCGAAGCGCCGAGCGGACAGCAGGCCTCCAACTGAGCCTAGCACTGCTTAAAGCTTAGGCAGCCAAGGAAGTCATCTAGTACCCAGTGCTATCGAGACCGAAAGGAGGATAACCACTCGAGGCTTGTGGGAGGAGTATTGCACCATGAAATCAGCTTGCCAGGAGAGGCGAGATGCTACCAAAAATGGCACAATCGCCCCTGGAATCGTGTATCCATCAGAGCCCTTGCAACACCAGAGGTTCCTTCCCGGTTGTGTCACAGTTGTGTCGATAAGCTGGCTGTGCCCCTTTTCTGTGGGTTCGCTTCTCGGCAGGCTTGCTGAAAGTGCATAATACCGACCTAGAAGACCCAGATGACTAGGTGATCAGTTCCATGTAAGAGTGTGTACGAAGGTACTTGTATCCACAAGAAGGTTGATGGTACTCGAAGCGATAACCTTAATCACCACGACGCCACATGACGATGGTCTAAGCTATGGGGATACCATCTGTAATTGGCGTTAAACCTGTTTTGCTCGGCTGGATGACTTGTTTATCCGACAACAGTGGTTGTCTACGTACGCTGAAGCCCCCCGACCTAGGATCTGACAGCCACTAGCACCCATGATTTAATTCGGGGTTTGATCTGGCGATAAACTTTCAGGGTTTTGGATACTATTGGGATGCCTTATAAAGGCATTTTAAAGCCCCGAGAAACCGGGGTCGATAGTGGGTAAGCTCATCCCCTACTGATCAGTCTGGAGATAAGTAGATCTATCGAATTCGTGTGGTTTACGTTGAAGGCCTGGCAATTGTTTGCCGGTTTCGTTGATGGTGTCGCGTTCATCTTGCCTAGAACGATGAATCACTGCACCCTAAACAAGGGAATTTTGCTGCTTCTCCACGATCTCAATACCTTAGTCCACTCCCTAAAGAGTTGTTAAGGCAAAACAGCTGCACTGGCACCTAGAATGCTCACTACTTCATTTGACTGTGTTGTGCTAGATGGCACCGTTGTTACGGCCGCTGATGTTGGTCGGTATGATATTGGCATCAAAGATGGGAAGATTGCTATACTTGCTCCTGCGCGGTCCCTGGCCATAGCTCGCTCTTCTCGAGTTATTGACGCCGAGGGTGCATATGTTATGGTAAGTTTCATCCATACAGAAAGTACAGTAATGGTCTCAATCACTGACACGTCACTATTAGCCAGGCGGCATTGATGCGCATGTCCACTTGGCCGAACCGCGAGGCCAGGGTCAAACGTCCGATACTTTCACGACAGGAAGCCGCTCTGCTATTGCTGGTGGCACAACAAGCATCATCGCATTTGCTCCTCAAGATAAGTCTGATCCATCCTTAGTCAAGGCGCTGGAAACAGCGCAAAAGAAAGCCGAAAATGCTGCATACTGTGACTATTCTCTCCACCTTATGATATCCAACCCAAGCCGAGAGGTTCTCGACGAGTTTTCCATTCTTCGCGAGCGCGGCGTGTCCTCGGCCAAAATATTCATGACCTACGAATCTATGCAGCTACGTGACTGCCAGGTCATGGATGTCTTGATGCAGGGCCGCAAAGATGGAGTAACCGTACTTATCCATGCTGAAAACGGCGACATGCTCACCTGGATGACTGAGCAACTCGAAAATCGCCAGTTACTAGAACCGAAATATCATGCCACTTCGCGGCCCCAAATCCTGGAGAGTGAAGCTACCAGTCGAGCCATATGCCTGAGCCAATTCATCCACACACCAATCTTGATCGTCCACGTTTCCTCGCCGCTAGCCGCAAACGCGATTCGCGGCGCGCAGACCAACGGATGGCCTATTTTTGCCGAAACATGTCCACAGTATTTGTTTCTGACCAGGAAAGACCTCGACAAGCTCGGCTTCGAGGGCGCCAAATGCATATGCTCACCCCCGCCCCGCGAGGGTGAGAACGACCTGGAAAGCATCTGGACAGGGCTGCAAAATGGAACATTTACAATCCTTTCCTCTGATCATAGCCCATACGTTTACGATGACGATGTCAATGGAAAGAAGATAGCCATCAATGGCGACGAACCCCTAGGCCGCTTCCGAAATGTCCCCAACGGCTGCCCGGGAGTTGAAACACGTCTTCCTTTGGTCTGGAACTCCAACCGTCTCACTCCTCAGAAGTTCGTTGAGGTCGCGAGCACCAACCCAGCCAAAATGTACGGACTATATCCGCAGAAAGGCTCCATTATCCCGGGTATCTCCGATGCGGATCTCACGATCTGGTATCCATCTGCTCTGGGACCATTCCCTATCACGAATTCTGCTTTACATCATAATGTGGACTATACACCGTATGAAGGGCACATGGTAACCCAGTGGCCGCGATACACCCTGCTGCGTGGGGAGGTCGTCTGGGATCGTGATAACGGGGGTATCGTAGGTCAGAAGGGTTACGGGAAGTTTTTGAAGAGAGGGCGCAGTTCGTTTTGCCGTGAACAGTCCGAGTTGGATTTTACAAAGTTCTAGTTTATATACCTTTTGGAGTTTGAGGGCATGGGGATAGTATGAAGATCACACACACACACACACACACACCATGACAGAGAAAAGCAATTCACGAAACCACTGTGTCACTATTAAGATTCTGCTGGTGAGCATAGCATGTGATTTATCGTTATTGAGATCTATGGAAAGAGGGGAGAGAGCCTGGACTCGCCACTGCATCGATATGTATTGCAAAGCCATGTATCTAACTTTCTTTTCATACAATACACTGTTGTATACAGCCAAGTCGAATACATGCATTCAATATTACATCAGATTTTATGTATGAGGGCCTTGCTTGATAGCCCACACCACTAACTATTTTGCCTTCTGATACTTTAACTTGGACTATTTCAAATGAAAGTTATCGGTGTTCAGTAGGGAGGCTGATGCACATCTGCCTAATACAGCCGATCCATAATATGATTATAGTAAACGTAAACCATGAAAAAAGCAAAGTGATATTGAAGTTAAGACACTGACCATAATCACAAGCCCTGTTCAACAACTCTTCATAATACTTAGTACCACCACCGGTTAGCATCATCGACATATTTCCCGTCCTTGAACTTACCGAAGGGGCGGAGCCTTACCCCTTGCTTATTATATTTGACTCCCAATGCCCGAAGCCGCGCAACGATCGCCGGGTCTGCCTTAACTTTTTTGTACGACATGACAGAACCCGGGCCTTCACAGGCTAGACATTGTTGCTCATTTATCTTCTCATAATGGGAATACGCAATGTGCACCTTTTCTAGCTGAGGGAGATGTGTCTGGCAATGTGCTGCCAAGTCCTCCAGCTCATCGCACAGCATATTAGATGTCTGCATAAGGCAACCGTCTATGGAGAGGAACCGCAGCGAACTTGGGAGAATTTTCCACAGAGGAGAAGTCGGGACACGAGTGCCGGGTTGAGAAGGCAGTAGATTAACCATCCGCATTTGTAGGGTTTCTAGGACAGGAAAGTCACATAAGGACCCGAAGTATGCTGGCTGGGGATACTCCACATCGTGATGAAGGTAGAGGTCGCCACGGCATATGTGAGATTTTATACTAAGGTGTCGCAGCGTGGAGCGGAGTTGGTAAATGGCATCATATGCGCGGTTGGGTTCCCAGTGAAAGCCAGGGCGGTGCGGACGCCTGAATAGGTGGTGTGTTGACTCCTCAAGCGTCCATGTGAAGGATTCGAGCTCTGAAACCCCATGAGCAGCTGCGGTAATTGAGTGAAGGTTTTATCGCACTGTTTGACGTCAAGATGGGTTACTTTGCTGTTGAACTTGCGAGGGAGAGCTTGTTCGTTTTGATCGGCAATCCGCGTAACACGAATATGTCTTAAGGAAGAGATTTCGAGAAATGGAATCAGGCGGATCACGGATATACCTGGCGGTTTATAATCAAAACGTGCTTGAGATTCCTCAAGTGTGAGATGTGTCAAGCGGGTGAGGATCCCTGATTCAGGGTTTGCTGCCCAGGAGATGACTTCGTCAAAATGTGGCGTGGGAGCGGGGCCTTTTTGGCCATGCCCGTGCTCATCGCATGGCAAGAAAACATAAAGATGTTGCAGATACTTTAGCTGAAGCAATAGCAGAGCGAACCAGGGATTCCTCAGGGGCTGGCAGGAATCGAGTCTTGGGTCGGATTCAAGTTCCTTATGCCAACGCAGGATCATCTGTCTGGTCAGCGGATGAGAGTGCAAGAAGTCTCCCCGTCCTGTTTCCTGAAGAACTCTAGACAGCTCAATCTTTGGAGTACCCGGATTTATGAATGGGACCAACTGCAGCGACCGGACGAAACCAGCAAGACCTGGGTTTTCAATGATGGCATAAGGGAGGCATCGGGCAGAAGAGGTATCCTCGTCCATGTGGAAATTGGGTTCCCACAGCCGGTATACCCCTTGAAGTTGAATCTCGCGATAAAGCTCCGGGGTGAAAGTGGAATGGCAGAATTTCGAGACGAGAACCAGCTGGTATAAATCGTTGAACCAGAGATATCGGCCGATTTTTACATGCAGTTCGGGGGGCAACCGATCCATGATGCCTGAGCGAGGTATATCTTGCGAGAGTGTTGTTGTTTCTTGCTTAGCTTAAATCCAGCCGGGATTGCACTGAAATGGGCGAGCAGGAAATTGGGAGACCTAGTGTTGTCCCTCTGCATCTTATATGTTGTAGCATGGATATGTGGAGGAAGCTCAGGTATCATAAACCATAGGAGTCCTTTGTACGGGGTATGCAGTATTGAATGGAAGGTCCCTAATGGACTCTATTAGATTAGTAGGAAACTGTCTCTTCTGGGAGAAGCGACATTCAGGCTTAGCAAAGGGCATCGAAGGACGTCAGCACCATGGCGTGAATATCTTTCTTGCATCGAGACAAAGAACGCGTGGATGCTTGGTATGTTCCGTTGCAAGACAACAAAAGTGTCACTGGGGCCCGATAGAAGGTACAGGGTATAGTAGTTTAGCTGTGCCTTAAAAGCTGGCAACTTGCACTGAACACAGCCATGCATCATGGTGATGATGATTGATGGTTTATATGTCGGGGGATAATCCATAGATATACAGTACTTTCCGGGTCCTGCAGAACTGGCTTTGATTATAGCAGAACCACGATGCACTATTCAATCTTAATTCATTATCAGCATGATCGGTGAGGTCCACAACTACCTGGACCATAAAACATCGTTTGCAGTATTTGCAGTACTGTATCAAGTAGGGTGTGCCTTCGTGAGGAAGAGGAAGAAGCGGTTGTTCATGTGAAAGGCAAAAACCCATTTAGAGATGGTCCGTGCACTGACGCGAAAATCCGCGTGGGAGAACAAAGGCGCGCCGCCCGTCCGTCATGTGTGCAGGCTGCCTGCCCAGTGTTGATGCTCTGGTCCCAATTACAGGGCATCCTTATCGCCTCTTGTTTAACGGAGTTGCAGGACATCTGGGAGATAAAGACTCACCGCAAGCCTTTTTAGTGAATCTGCAATCGGACAAGTTCACTCTGCTCCGGTATCCCGCTGTGGGAGGCAATTGCGACATTTGACCGCGCAGAAGGAATATTTAGCTGAACGACAGACCCTATAAGCGATATCCGTGAAAGACGAAAAATCGGAGTGGGAAGATGTCGAATCCAGATACTCCCATCACCGGGACCGATTCCCTTGATGAATTCGCCCCACGATCAGGCTCTTCGCAGGCGTCCACGCCGATGACAGATGGACCCGACCAAGACCAGAAGACCACGCCGCAGGATAAGATGGATTTATCGGAGGATATTGAGGGGATGGATGTGAAGGCGAAGGCGTTGATGCATCTTCTTAACACCAGTGAGGTGCGATTGTTCGATCCTGGGGTTGGAAGGGATTTTGGTGGCGCAGAACTATTGCTGATGAGTTCGCTCTCTCTTGATAGGTCTTCGTTGCGATCATGGCGGATAAAATGAAGAAACAGCAGGAAGAGGCGAGACTTGAAGCAGCCAAGCAGCAACAGCAAGGGAAAAAGACTGAAACCAAACCCAAGGCTGCTAGCGAGCCGGTTGGACGGCGACAGACGCGCACGAGTGCAAGGCAGTCCGCTGCCACTACAACGGAAGCTGCCACTGAAGAAGGGAAGAAGGAGGAAGAACAAGAAACCACTAAGACTAGGAGGGGCCGGGGAAGGAAGCCTGCTTCTGCGGCTGCGAATGGCAACACCATCTCCAGCTACTTCAAGAAGGCGGATGTAAAGGTCGATGAGGATAAGCCGACGGTTCAGGAAGCTTTGGAGCATGCCGCAGATGAGTATGAAGCGAATCCAACGGCACTGGGTGGTCAGGAACTGGTTGCTACCCAGCAACCGGAGTTGGTGACTGGAGGGAAGATGAAGAAGTATCAATTGGAGGGGCTGGAGTGGCTTAAGTCGCTTTGGATGAATGGACTGTGTGGCATTCTGGCCGATGAGATGGGTCTTGGGAAGACCGTTCAGGCTATCTCACTAATTGCGTTCTTCAAGGAGAAGAATGTCTCTGGCCCTTTCCTGATTGCTGCTCCCTTGAGCACGGTGAGCAATTGGGTGGACGAGTTTGCAAAGTGGACGCCTGGAATTAAGACGGTCTTGTACCATGGGACAAGGGATGAACGTGCAACATTAAGGAGGAAGTTCATGAACATGAAGGACCAGAGGAGTGCAGATTTTCCTGTCGTCTGCACTTCCTATGAAATCTGCATGAACGATCGAAAGTTCCTCGCGCAATATCAGTGGCGGTATATCATTGTGGTATGTTCTGCTCCCCCATCGCATGACCATTTGAGATGATTCGATTCTCTAACATGTCTGCAGGATGAAGGACATCGCTTGAAGAACATGAACTGCAAACTGATCAAGGAATTGCTCACCTACAACTCGGCCAACAGGCTCCTCATCACGGGCACACCATTACAGAACAACATCACAGAACTTTGGTCACTACTGCACTTCCTCTTACCTGAGATCTTCAATGATCTCAACAGCTTTCAGGGTTGGTTTGACTTCTCGTCCATGCTGGACAACAATGGTCAGACGGATGTCATGGAACGTCGAAAGCGCACGCTGGTCTCCACGATGCACTCGATCTTGAAGCCTTTCCTCCTCAGACGTGTGAAGACCGACGTTGAGACATCTCTCCCCAAGAAGCGGGAGTATATCCTGTATGCGCCGTTGACAGCAGAACAGAAGGACCTATACCGTGAGATTCTCAACGGCACTGGTCGCCAGTACCTCGAGGAAAAAGCCACGGAACGTCTCATGGCTAAGAGTGGAAGACCGTCACGATCTCAGAGCCTGAAACGCAGCGCTGATACCAGCGAAGCTTCATCACCGAACAAGAGTCTCAAATCTAGCCGCTCATCCACACCAGCCAGTGCAGCATTGCCCACATCCCGGAGACGCGGCAAGGTGTCGAGCTACAAGGAGCTGAGCGATCGCGAATTCAACTCTAGACTTCGCAGACTCGAGCAAGGCTTAGAAGAAGATCTGGACATCGCTGAACAACCCAGCGAGACAGAACAGGAGGAGCAAGAGAGAGCCAAAACCATCCGGCTTGCCAGTAAGCACCTCCCTATCCCTGCCCTCACTTTACATCGTAAAACTAACATCTCCTTCCCACCCCTTAGAGAAAGAAATCGCTCAAAAGAAGATGCAAAACCCTATCATGCAAGCCCGACTTGCCTGCAACTCCCCACACAACTTCTACTGGCCCTGGATGGACGACCCGACCTCCATCGACGAAACTCTCGTCACAGCCTCGGGAAAAATGCTCCTCCTAGACCGACTAGTCCCCTGTCTTCTCAACAAGGGCCACAAAATTCTCATCTTCTCGCAATTCAAAACCCAACTTGACATCCTCCAAGACTGGGCCACGCAACTCCGCTCCTGGAACTGCTGCCGCATCGACGGCGCCGTCAGCCAAGAAGATCGCCGCGCTCAAATCAAAGCCTTCAACACCGACAAAAACTACAAGCTCTTCCTCCTCAGCACCCGCGCCGGTGGCCAAGGAATCAACCTCATGGCTGCCGACACCGTCATCCTCTTCGACTCCGACTGGAATCCGCAGCAGGATCTGCAGGCGCAAGACCGCGCCCACCGTATCGGGCAAACGAAACCGGTCATTGTCTATCGCCTCGCGACAAAGGGAACCGTGGAGCAGACGCTGCTAGAGAAAGCGGACTCGAAGCGTCGTCTTGAACGGTTGGTTATTCAGAAGGGCAAGTTCCGGAGTCTGTTGGACTCCGGTGGACTTAGCTCCAATGACGTTGATGATTTGAAGAAGGCGCTGGGGCAGGATGAATATGAGAGCTTTGAGGCTGGTGCGGACCCGGCCACTTTGCTTTCGAAGAAGGATTTGGATATCTTGACGGATCGCAGTGAGGAGGCGTATGCTCGTGCTGAGAAGGGATTGGATACTACTGGACGGGCCTTCATGGCTGTCGAGACGAAGAGGGATGGTGATGGTTTGATGGCGCAGATTATTGGGAAGTAATGTTTCTTTACTCTTCCTTCTTTTGGTTCTCGTTTTTCTTTTTGTTTATTCCTCATGAAGGCGGGTGTTTAGGTTGTTTGTGCCCTTCATCAATCATTATGACCTACTTACTATGGGGTGGGCGTCAGGTCAGGGAAAGCGGAACCTAGGCTAGGCCTATAGGGCGTTCTTGTTATGTACTGTACATTAGATAGAGGGGGTGACTGGAAAAGGAAGAGGAGTAATAGGCGGGTAATGCGCGAGAGCAAGTCCAAACTGAGGACTCAAAATGAGTTGGAACAAATCACACCTCTAGTGGAAGCGAAGCATGCATGAAAATAAACACTCGAGACACGAATCAATCCATTAAGCGCCTGATGCTCCTCGCCAAGAAAATGGCTATACAACGACAACAACACAATAGCAAAGCTCGTGAGCGTAGACCCCTCACGGCAAGAAGGAAATACCAGAAGCAACCCAGGTGAAAAGTATATTCAAGAAAACGAAGCAAGAAAAGGGAAGACAAGTCGAACGAGGAATAGATTAGATGATTACCGGGACAACTTTGCCTCTTCGACCTGTGCCCGCAGATCAGAGAGCACCTCCCTCCGTTGCGCCAGATGGCTCTTCAATCCCTCGACTTGCTCGCCAACGGTCTTGACATCATCTCTGAGACGTTCTACGTTCTGGCCGTCTTTGGATCGGCCTGCGCCTTCACGCAGCTCCCGTAGCTCCCGCTCCTTGTACTCCAGCAGCTGGAGTGCTTCTTTCTTGATCAACACCCAGTTGGGCCGGCCGTCGTTCCGAGGTCGATCGCGTCGTCCTTCGGAGGCCTTTCTAGCGGAATCCAGCTTGGACTCGATCTCCGCCAGCTCGCGCCTCAACCGGACCTTCTCCCACTCTTCATCCTGGATGGTGTCGCTGAAATCCGTGCCCTTGGGTGTATAGGATGTCTTCCCTCCGGCACCCAGCCGACTCAGATAGGTATCCCCGAACTTGGCTTTCTTGCCCGTGAGAGTCTCCGTATCGCCGCTCGCGCCCCATTTCTGGGCGGGACGGGCATTGTCGACTTGGTAGTCGATCTGGTTGTTCTCGAACGAAGCGCGCAGGGATGCAGGAATGGCGCGGGGAATGCGGAAGCCCTCGTGGCGGTAGTTAAGCATATGCAAGAATGCAAGCGTAGCGTCTTTGTTGATGGTCGGGGAAGCAGAAGGGTTGACTAGGTTCCACGCAGAGCGGATGTCCGTGTCTGGGACGTCAAGGGAGTCGTAAAGAGGCTGTAGCGATTCGACTATACAAGACCCGCATCATGTCAGTTTCATGGCCCAGGAGATTGAAGTCGGGGAGGGGTGGGGGGGAGCTTGGATTCGGACATACAGGAGATTTCCCCGCGGTGGTTCTTGTTCGCGAGATAGATTTCTTCGTATTTAGACTTATCAGATGGGTTCATGTACCATTCGAAGCCATCTTTTAGGCCGGGAGTGTCATCCTCGTCTTCTATCCTTTCGAATTGCTCCGGACGACCGCTCAGGGCCCGGGTCGCATGGACTAAATGAGCTTTAGATTCGGGAACGAGCCAATCAGGCAGAACGTTTGGCACTGCTTGTAATTCCTTTGCGGATTGGATATATTAGCATGGAACGTAATGGAGTGGGGGGAGCATTGGACTGCAGAAGCGGGCGGGAAAGGAGACATGCAGCACCAGGAGGACCGGGAGGCGCCGCAGTAGGGGAGCTCACATACCCCATTGACAAGGTCGAACACCAATCGCATGGCAACACAGAACTCCTCAAAGTCTAGTTCGCCATCACCATCAACATCTGCCAGATCCCAGACCTTTTCCAGTTGGTCATCACGAAGCCGACTGTTCCTGAGTACCGAGGCCGCTTGGGAGTTGTTCAAACGCGGCTGGCCGCCTGCCAGCGATGCGAAGATCTCCCAGTACCGTTCGATTTCCCACTGCTCGATCTTCTTGGTTGACATGATTGGAGGCAGAGTCGCTTGTCGACTTGGGGGGTTCAGCAGGACACCAAGCAATGGGAGACAGGAGGTAAGAATGAATGAAGTGAACAGGATGGGGGGAATAAATGGGGGGAAGTTGTTTGGCTGGATTGCTGGGCGTCATCCGGTTCGGGCGTCCCGCAATGGCTCCGCTGGGATTACCGGAACAAGTTAGTTCCGTCCAGGTACTGCTCTAGATAATCGACTTTATCTTAGATAGATAGTTTCTGGATAGCTTCAATATTCATAGCTATGGAGTGCTTGGGGAGTCGCGTGATTTCCATTATTTTGCAATATGTCTAGATACTTCCTATCACTCTAACTGGGCGTGTGCTTCCAAGCTCCATTCGCCATGCACCATTTACAAACACTATGTACTGACTTGTCCTCGGAAGACCTGGGGCAGCCACGGGCCATGATGGTTGCCGTGTAGGAATCCTTCCCATAATTATCCCCTTTGCTCATGTATCTTTCTTTTCAGAGGCCCCATCCTCAGCATCTTTCTTCGCATCCGCCTTCAGCTTTTCCTCCACTTGGATGATGGCTCGCTCAGCTTCCAGCGCAAGATCCGGTGCCTCGAGTATCGAGGCTAGTTTCTTCGCATCTGTCATGCGGAGAAGTAACCTGTCATCACTCTTCTCCACGTCTTCTACCATCTCCGCAATGGGTTTGTCCACCCCAGTATTTTCCAATGCGTAAGATACGCGCTTCGCGTACAGTTCTTCGAGCCCAGGGTATGATATCGGATTCAGGAGATTCTTCTCTAGAAGAAACTCTAAGTGTTTAGAGCCGTTAAGTGCTTGGAGTGGTCAGTTCACGAACTGTCTTGAGTGGGAAAGAAGTGGGGGCTAAGCCAACCTCGTCCATGGGACCATGCTCGGTACACGAGGTAGAAGAAAGGGACATTAGGCACACTATTTTGTAGGTATAGTTATGTGATTAGCATATACGGGTCAACCAAGCCACTCAAATCGGGGTAAATCAGAAGGGCTCCATACAGAGGAATAAGCCCAACGGGAGCGGTCAAGGGCGTCGCAAGCAAGCTCAACCACATCCTTCGGCGATGCAAGTCCTGCCTTTCCGTCGCAATTGCTTGCAGCATCTTTTGTAGCTTTTCTGGCCGAATAGCATTCCCCGGGAATAGTACGTCCACTTTCTTGGTCCCGTAAGATTCATCAAGTCGCCGCACCGCTGCGAGAGATGGAATACTTTTCAGACCCCATTCTTGATACGGGATGCGTTGCTGCACCCGATTACCCCAGGAGACCAAATGCTTCTTCCAGCCCTTATCGGCCTCCTCCCATTTCGCCCATGTTTCTGCAGCCTTTTGTATGACCCGGTCATGTATCGAAGGCTTTTGCGACGGACCACGGCGGAGGGGTCGAGCGTAGATTAGAGCTTGTCGCGTCGAGATAGGGATGACGAAGAGTCGCATAGCAACTGAGGAAGGGATCCGTTCTGTGATACTACTATAAGTGCCGTGGCGTGTTTCCAAGGATCAGCGACAATGGCTGATTTGGGCAAATTTGGGAGGCAGCCAGGGAGAGCTAGCGATCGACGAGAGAAAATAACCGATTCAAGGGCGTAGATGAAAGTGGCATGCCTTTCCTGTCTGATGAGGGTATTCGAAGGTCAAGGGGCCTGAATTGGCTTTTCGAGTCGTAGTTGTTACCGTTTTCTGAGTTGATATCAGGGAATGAATGGGTGTAGCCGAGATGGATGCGTGGAGGTTGCCGGACCATTAATTGGCGGCGGCGGCGGTGATGATGGATGATGCTTTGCTTAGTTGCATCTCAGACGTCATTCAGCTTACTGTTGTGACGGTATGCATGACACTGCAACTGCCGACAATATGGAGATTTGTGACTGCAGGTTGTACGGTATGGTAAGTACTGATTGTACCTGGCTGTAAGTTACGCAGCTAACCGGTTGGGGGTTTAGCTCCTCCAAGCTAAGATTACAGCCCGGACGAATTACTACGTAGGCTTCCATCATCCAAATTTCTTGAAACCAGCCTCCCAGCCTTTCGCTCTCTTTTCCCCTCCTTCTGCGACGTCTGATCTCAGTTCATTGTCGCTTTGTTTCACCCATCTTGACTGTTCTCTCGATGATCCTATCTCTCCCAAGGGCCAAGGCTTCCCAAATTTCAGTCAAGCCCGGTGCCCGCTAATCTTCCGAGGGACATTTGAGGCGATGCAGACTAGATCCGCGGCTTGCCCCCAGCTTCCGACCCGCCGACGCACCTTCGCCTGGAACCACCGCTGAACTGTACGGCAATGGCACAAGATGTGCGCAACTCACATTTGCAGCCTCCAGATGCCGCTCCGCTCTCTGACGAACAGCTGTCGGAGCAACCTTCCGCTACCGAGTGGATGTCGGCGCAATCGAACCATTCTACTGGCGCGCTCCACAGCGACAATGATATCGTTCACCCACATGATGCAGTAGACTACTCGGCTGGACACTCACGTTCGCCAGAGAGTACAGTCGTGGGCGAATTCGACAACATTCCGGCAATGGGGAAGAAACCTCGGACTTTACCAGGTGAGTTTCCCCTTGTATCCTGATCGATCTCGGATCCACCGGATTAAGTCAACTAACCATCGATGATCTGTATAGCATGGATCCGTTCAGTCGAGTATACGGAGGACGATGTAGAAGCAGCTGTCACAGATAGGCTACTTCCATCACAGCCAGGAGAAGCCGTTGTCGCCCAGCACAATCATTCGCCTTATGCAGCATCAAGACCTACCCTTTCGAGTGGACAGGGTGAAAGTAGCAGGGGTGTCATCGGACGAGAGCGCGAGTCGCGCTGGAAGAACTTTTCCAGGGACATCGCCTACCCTCGAGAACAAGGAGTTGAGGAGAAATCCGTCACGCCGGACTGGTTGAATGAGAATCTCGGTGATTATTCTGAACCTTGGCGAGGCGAGGGCGAACCGGATGAAGATACCGAAGACCCCTTGAGGATGAGACGACGACGAGAAATTTGGTTCAAGCGCTTCCACAGTACGCTTCTCAAGAGCCCTATGGTTCCCTTGATCTTTCGACTTACGGTATGGTGCTTTTCCCTCACTGCATTGGCTCTTGGAGGCTCTATTCAGCATCTCTCGGGGAAGTACCAGCATCCCCAAGGCCCCTCTGCACTAATGGCGATTATCGTCGATGCGGTTGCCTTGGTTTACCTCGTTTACATTACATTTGATGAATACACATCCAAGCCGTTGGGTCTTCGCTCTCCATCCGCCAAGGCACGACTCATTCTTCTGGACATCTTTTTCATTGTGTTCGACTCAGCCAATCTCAGTTTGGCGTTTGAATCACTCTCGACCGTGAGAGGCGCATGCACAATGGCTGAAGTCAATCAAGAGGTTGCGCCGAAAAACGACGCAATATGCGACCGGCAGATCGCCTTGGCTTGTGTACTACTGATTGCGCTACTAGCCTGGCTTACTACCTTTTCCATCAGTGTCCTCAGGTACGAGAGTCTTACCATGTTACACAAATGACGATACTGACAGCTTCGATTTAGACTTGTCGAACGAGTTGCTTCATGAAGTGCAGCTCTACAATATACCCCCAACCCCTTTATTCATCTCTCTATTATAGTCCCTCTGGGGCAATTTTCTATCCCCCCTTCCACCACATTAATACCCCGAATTGCTTTTCCGGTAGTTCTTTTCTTACTCCTTTCTTGGCTTACCCCTTTCAAACCTCCTTCAATTTCTTCTTCTCATTCCCCCGTTTGCTTTACTTGGGCGCTATATCCTTGCTTCGCGAGCTTAGTTATGGAGTTTTATGTTTGTCGTGGTGGTCGGTTGGAGTTTCAAAGCATTGGGTCGGAAAGGGAAAATCTGATTTCTTTTTTTGGATTACACGATCACTGTGCATATACGATAAGAACATTATGTACATATGAAATCTTGATGGTAAAGAATCCACGGCCGCTGTTGTCGCTCGGAAATCTATCCCAATGAAATCCTTCAGACGTGCAGCACAGGCCCATCCTGCCCACACAAGGGGTCGCTGTGGAACCAACTCAAGGCATGGATATTCCGCGAAACCTTGTCTTCCTCCCTTGAGTCACCATAGCACATATCCCATTGTTTCTGGGGCGGATAAGCGCCAACCATCTGGAAAGGGTCACCCTGGTCAGAGCCGAGCTCCTCCAGCAGCCGGTGGCCGACGCCGGCGGGCACGATAATCAGATCTCCTTTTTCGACGGTCGGCTCGAAGCGTTCGGGGTTCGCTTCCCCACCGAAGCAAAGCCGTGCACGGCCGGAAACCACCCCCAGCACCTCGTGAGTGGTGCTGTGAAAGTGCGTTTGACTGTACATGGAATAGACCCACTGTGGTCTGACCTCACCAATTTCCTCCAGGTGCGCCGCGAGATCGTTAGCGGACGCGTTAAAAGCTTTGTGGTAGATCATGAGTGGTTTAGACTGGATCGAGGTGTTGGGGATACCACCCCATTTGGGGATCTGGCGAGATGTCACGGAAATTTCTGAAGGAGGAGAGAACGACATGATTGATCGAGTGTCAACACGGCCATTCGTTCTTGTTTTTTTACTTCCTTTATATTAGTGCTAATGGAATCGGAGTTGTGGTGGTTCATTTTTCTTGAGGGTTTAAATTAAAGATCAGTTCATCCGTAATAAGAATATGTGTGACGTCATTGGTACTGCTTGCCCCCTGTGAGGGGACGAAGAATGCATGACAGTTAGCATTTTGTCACGCAATGAGCTGATTGTCTCGCATCCAACGTGTCATTGATGCCAGGAGATCTTAGATACGTCTTCTCTCCAACGGCGGAGGATGTGTCCAGTCAGATCGACATTGGCTGTGTGACAGATGAACATTTTTGGGGGGGGGGGGGGTCAGAAAAAAAGGTAGGCGGTTACGTAGCGGTTGATCCCAAGGGTCGGGTCCCGTGCCAGCCTACCCAAAGGGTGTTAAGGATACAATTTGGGGAAGGTCTTGGGGGAAATATAAAGCTGGACGTGCACAGTGTAACACGATGCTGAAGAGACCTGGAACGAACCCTGGAGTAATTTAAAATTAAAGAAAGACTATTCACAGGACTCTGTACTAGTCCCGATCATCAGCAGGGCGGCCTGGGGAATCTAAATCTAGATCGAGAACGCTTGACCGCCTACCGCAAATAGCGAGCAATTCCCCCCCTCTGTTGGAGGAACCTCCACCAAGTTACTTAGTAACCGCCAAACTAAACCAACCACCAACCACCAGCCATCATCATTCTCCCCCCCATCTTAGTTCTTCCGCCCAACCGCCACGCCCTCTTTCTGCTTCCTTTGCTCAAATCATATCTCCTCCCGCCTTCGCTTTTCTACCCTCCCCACCCTCTCTCCCCCAAGGCGCGTCACTACCTACTCTAGTAGTTCCGGGCATTTGCAGTGCAATCCTCGTGGCTCCTTGGGTCGTCTCCCACAACGCGCCAGCTTCTCTTCTGCCTTAAATGCTAGGCTGAGGTCCTGAAGCTGATATTTAGACTCATCATCGCTGCCTTAAAGCTTAGCCGCCCACCGCTCATCGTGCGGTCACTCATTTTATCCTTGAGACGTTGAGGTAAGTTCCGTGTTCCCTTTCATCCTCACATGTCTTTGTGCCTGGTCGCTATCGTCTCCTTGTCCATTGTTTCGTCCCATAACGAGAACCTTCCTCCGCCTTGACAACTCCTCAAAAGGAGTCGTCTCAAATTCGCATAAGCTAATGCTGTCCCGTTTACTCCATAGACCTGTGCTCAAGGCTCGAACTCGACTATCCATAGCTCGCAGAATGCCTGCTCTTATCCCCCAAATCCCTCACAAGGATGATTTGGATGAAACGTGAGTCCTTTTGAGCTGGGCGGCCGCTCTTGTCAGAAGGAATTATATAGCGGCTTTGGTCGGGACCTTGGCTGACGGTGCGCAGATGGACGTTCCTAGAGAAGGGCATCGACAGCGTGATGCTCAAGTTGGAGGAAGGTGTGGATATGAAAACTGTATGCCGTTCAAATTTCTTTTCCTGGCTTCCCCGTCAGGACCATCATTGTCTGCCGAGCTGGATGGTGTGCTGACATATCATCTTCGTTGTTCTAGTACATGGCGTTGTATACGTATGTCCTGGTTCCGAGGCGTCTCCTGCCCCCATGTATTGGCTAACCTGCAGAAACAAGCGCCGTTCATAACTTTTGCACGTCACAAAAGGCCATCGGCAGCAGCCAAAACATAAAAGCGCATCATGGCGGTCGGTCACAACCACACAAATTCTTGAGTCTCAGAACCCCACAGCTGACGGCATCACCAGCACACCTACTAGGAGAGGAACTGTACAAGTTGCTCGGGGAGTACCTTTCTCGTCACCTTGACGCGGTATACCAGGAGTCCGAGGGTCATGCGGAAGAGGCCCTGCTAGGATTTTACATCCGAGAGTGGCTCCGCTACACGACGGCGGCTAAGTACATCAACCATCTTTTCAAATATTTGAACCGTCACTGGGTCAAGCGGGAGATTGACGAAGGCAAGAAGAATGTATACGATGTGTATACCTTGCACTTGGTCAAGTGGAAGGATGACTTCTTCATGAAGGTCCATGAGAAGGTCATGGAAGCGGTGCTCAACTTGGTTGAGAAGCAGAGAAACGGCGAAACCATCGAGCAGTCTCAGATCAAGAGCATTGTTGACTCCTTCGTCTCCCTTGGCTTGGACGAGAGCGACTCTAGCAAATCCACCTTGGAGGTCTATCGGTATTACTTCGAGAAGCCCTTCATTGATGCCACCAGGGTCTATTACGAGAATGAATCACGCCAGTTTGTCGCAGAGAACAGTGTTGTTGAGTACATGAAGAAGGCGGAGGCTCGTCTGGACGAAGAGAAGGCGCGCGTGGGCTTGTATCTGCACCCGGATATCTCTAAGCACCTCACTGACACGTGCCTGGATGTGCTTGTTACCGCGCACTCCGAACTCCTGCGGGACGAGTTCCAAGTGTTGTTGGATAATGAACGCCAAGAAGATCTAGCCCGGATGTACAGACTCTTGTCTCGCATTAAAGACGGCCTGGACCCTCTCCGCACTAAGTTTGAAGCCCACGTCAGGAAGGCAGGCTTGGCTGCCGTGGAAAAGGTTGCCGCGGATGGCGAATCCTTTGAGCCCAAGCTCTACGTCGATGCACTGTTGCAGGTGCACACCCGGTATCAGAGTCTGGTAAGCGAAGCCTTCAACGGCGAGTCGGAGTTCGTCCGGTCTCTAGATAATGCTTGCCGTGAATTTGTAAACCGCAATAAGATCTGCAAATCTGGTTCAACAAAGACCCCGGAATTGCTGGCCCGGTACACCGACTCACTGCTCAAGAAGGGCTCCAAGGCAGCGGAAGAGTCTGAACTCGAAGAAATGCTGGTGCAGATCATGACTGTCTTCAAGTACATTGAAGACAAGGATGTGTTCCAGAAGTTCTACTCCAAGATGCTGGCTAAACGTCTCGTCCACGTCAGCTCGGTCTCTGACGATGCAGAGACCAGTATGATTAGCAAGCTTAAGGAGGCGTGTGGATTCGAGTACACCAACAAGCTGCAGCGCATGTTCCAAGACATTCAGATTTCGAAGGATCTTAACGCCAGCTACAGAGACTGGCAGGAGAAGATTCTCGACGATGACGATCGGAGGAAACTGGTGGACTCACACTTCCAGATCCTGGGGACTGGATTCTGGCCCCTTAGTGCGCCTTCGACTGACTTCCTCGCGCCACCGGAAATCGTCAAGACTGCTGAACGGTTCCAGAGTTTCTACTTTGACAAGCATAACGGTCGTAAGTTGACATGGCTCTGGCAGCTATGCAAAGGTGAAATCAAGACCAACTACATCAAAAACACCAAGGTTCCGTACACGTTCCAGGTGTCGACCTTCCAGATGGGTATTCTCTTACTGTTCAACGAACATGACACTCTGTCCTACGAGGAAATCCAGAAAGCCACATCCCTTGCTCCCGAGATCCTTGACCCGAACCTGAGTATCTTCCTGAAGGCCAAGGTGCTCATCATAAATCCGGAGGGGTCGAAGCCAGAACCTGGTACATCCTTCTCCCTGAACTATAACTTCAAGAACAAGAAGATCAAGGTCAACCTCAACATCCAGATCAAGTCTGAGCAGAAGGTTGAGTCTGATGATACGCACAAGACGATTGAGGAGGATCGGAAGCTGCTGCTTCAGGTATGTCCCTTGCAAATATGCCATATTGGAAGAATTTCCATGTCGCTAACATGTGTATAACACAGTCCGCCATTGTCCGTATCATGAAATCCCGCAAGAAGATGAAGCACGTGCAACTTGTCCAAGAAGTGATTCAACAGGTCAAGTCGCGTTTCCCTCCCAAGGTCCCGGACATCAAGAAGAACATCGAAGCACTCATGGAGAAGGATTATATAGAGCGGCTGGACGGTGATGAGATCGCTTACATCGCGTGATCGCCATACAGCCCGAGTTCTCCATTCCCTTTCCTCATCCTTTCCTTTCATCTGGCGGTTCAATCCCCTCATCCTGGATCAAGATCACAACACCACATCAACCATCATCTCAAATGTCCTGTTAGCGCGGTAGCTTCCTTATTTTTACATTAGTCTTCTTCTATCTTGACTCATATTGTCCCAATGGCACATCGAGGAGCGGCGGATGGGAAACGTTGTGTTTTTTGCTTTCTTCACAGCGCTGCTACGACAAATGACAACCCAGATATACAATTAGACTGGATCCCACTTTTCACTTTCTCATCATATTCCTTCATCTAAATTCATCTAAACTGAAACTCCGATTTGAGACTGGGCTGAGCAGCGATCTGAGTAATTAGTAAAAATTGGAATATTTTTCTATATGTTGAAAGACAGCCCTTCATTAATATTAGACTATACAATCAAGAACTAGTGAGTAAATATTTGATGCAAATATTATGTATGATTGGTATCAAAACACTATGAGCGTTATCTAGCTACTATGCTATTACTATGTATCAGTTCACATGATGGGACAGAGTATACACGACATTTGAGATAGATGGCATGCGTCGTCATATATACAGGCATTATTTGTGTCCTCTTCGGGTATCAGGAGCTCTCGATGATAGATGAGCATGGGTGAGAGGGGTGTCTCCCCGAAAGGGAGAAATAGAAAAAAAAGCCTGTCGTGACATAAAGCGGGAGGCTTACATACAGAATGGGAACAGGGGGAAATTGGTTGTTCCCTTATTACTATTATAATGATCGAGTAGACATCAACAGAATGATTGTCTTATTTCTCGGCATGCGGCTCGATCGGTTCCGGGGACACCTCCTTGATGTCAGGAGATGGTTGCAAGTGGGTAGTAGTAGGAGCCTTCGCTTCGTCTTCCGGGGACTTCAGT